TTACGTTTATGTAGTAAAAAAAACTGAAGCTTTTCCAGACTTTTCTAAAGTTTAGGTTAATGTTGCAAGATTTGGCCCCGCTAAAAAAAATCATGAAGGTAATAGGTATCTGTACATAAGTAAGTAGAATACTTTTTAGAAAATAGTACTGGCTATGTATATTATTTCCTCTACACATTGACTCGTCTGCTTACCCCAGGTACTGAACAAAACATTTTCCATTAAACGTTAGAATTGATGGAAAATTGCTCAAAATGCAATTCAACGGTGCATTTATGAGTCACAGATACTGTTCCCTCGATGTAGAGGTACCTACTTTGTTGCGTATGCGCACGCATGTTACGTAGTAAGACGCACGCACATTTTCGCGGCAGTGTGATTTGATAGCTATGTTTTTTTTTTGTAAAGAGAATATAATTTCTGTTACGCTAGACACAGTATGATTTGCTCGTCGAGTTGTTTTTCGTTGTTTTAAATCGTTAAAAATAAGAAGTAAAAATAGTATCGATTGTTGTCTAGTATTGTTTGTTTAATGTTTGTTTTGCAATACTTCCTTTAAACTCTGTAAGCTCAGCGGCCCAAACAGGATCTTGGCTTCTGATTCTTCGTAATTTCTCAATAATAGGGTAGATGCCTAATTTTTATTTGAATGTCCGTCTGGTAGATTATTTTAGAGGTAAATCATTAGACACGTATTTTTTATTTTCTTACAAAAACGAATACTTTCGACGATATATTGATTTGAAATGTCGCGTGACGACACTTCTATGTCTATTTTATACGTAGAAATTACGTTTTAGCCCCCACTTCTAAACTCTGATTCGGTTCATCTAAGTATTGTTTTGTTATTCGACAAAATTAAAAAATACGTGTCTAATATTTTTTCATTTCCTAACTTACGGATTAATTATTTTTTTAATTTTCGTACCTACCCTGTCATCATCCCAAATAATAGCTTTAGTACGCATTGTATAAAAAATAAATGCCAAGTAAAATAGGTTTAACTCTTTATTAACCGACACAATTAACTCGTCGAGTACCGGTTTTGTAGACACAATTATAGAACAATAGGTTGCGGTCACCGGTGACCGCTTGGTGTTTGACAGTTTAAAGAACTATAGGTTGCGGTCACCAGTGTCCTTGTGGTGTTTAACAGTTTAAATAGATTCACAATTCCCAACAATCACGCACAATTTATGATACTACACACACAGCTATCAAATCAATACCCATATAAACTCCTGCGACCTAACCTACGAAACTATATCCTATGTAGGTATACCATACTTGCAACATTGTAAGAAGCACTGTATCTACACGAAATGTTCGTTTAATACGAACAAACATACAGTTAGGTTGTAAATCATTGCTCATATCAGCGCAATGATGTCGCGACACGAGAATCGAACCCAGGCATCTGGGCCACGATTTATTAGCTCCCATGTATTTACGTCTCGGTTCGATCGAATGCTGTAGGTCGATCATATTTGTGTTCTGTCAGGGATGTACAATTTCTTTAAAAAAATATGTGTACATAAGCGCACGCCTGTCTCGTATGGGTGTAGATAGAGTCTATGGAACGCCAATTGCTACGATTCTTACATGCCTCTTTCGCTTTCTGAACACTCATTAGTCTTTTCATGCATGCTCGTCGGTAAATGGTGCTTTTAGTTTAGCCCCTCTTTAAAAAAGTAGTATAGTAATTTATCGCTATCACCTACCGTTCCCGCTGGTGTCGGTAAACTCAAATAAGGCATACATATTGACAGAAACCGGCACTGATATCTGCAATAGGTACATCCCTAGAACTCCCTAGAACAGAAGTCAGAGCTATAATTTTGTACTGCAAGCTTATGAATTTTAATGTAATTAAAACAATTCATAAAATAATGTTAATATGCGATCTCCAATCGAGCTTCCTTACTAAGCTTGGAGAATATGGCAAAACAAGAGGAGCTAAGGGTAGTTGCCTAAGGACTGTAGTCCAACAGTTCGCTGTGAATGTGATGTGATAATGTAGTGCAGGATCCTTGCCTCGCAATTACATAATAACTATTAGACATTCTAGGACTGTATCTTGCAAATAAATAAACTTTAATTTGACTCGTAACTGACGAAACTTCGATGACAGATTTAAAATCACTACCATCTCCTACAGCACAAGCACATTGTTAGACTATTAGAAGCACTTGTAACTACACGCGGACACAATTCCAGACTTCGTGCTACTGCTACTATTGAGAATTAAAAAAACCAATAACTAATACTTTGTCCAACCCGGGAATCGAACCCGAGACCCCTTGCCCGGCAGTCGCAATTGCGACCGCTCGGCCAACGAGCCAGAAGTAAAGCTGTAGAGGATTGGATAAAATGAAAAAAGAAATTAGTGGTGCCGCTTCTTTGGTCCCAATTGTAGTTAGCCAAGTTCCCAACATCATAAAAATGATGTCATGACTATATAAAACTACCTACTAACAAAAAATCCTAATTCGGTACAGTGAACAAAAAAGGTAATTTATAAGAACCACCATACTATTATATTGGACTGTAACGATGGTGCCAGGGTGAGACGAATTCACAGTACTTTCTCCAACTTGTCCTTGGGATAGCGTGAAGATACGGGAGTCGGTCAGGGCTGTCGAAGTAGATATACACATGTAGATCGTTCAAAATGTGCTTAAAAATGTCTTTTTGATTTTTAAGATTTGTATTATTAATGCATCGAATAAAAAAAAATTTAGTATTCCAAAACTATATGCTATCTAAGTAAGACAGGCTAAAAATATCTTTTCTTTTTTTTGAAAACTGTCATTATAAACAACGTTAAGTTTAATCAACGACCACACACTCCATACTCCATTGTTGAACTTTTTAAAACTTAGTACCTAGTACTTACTACTTATGCTGCCAGTCTTCTGGGAACGTTCCCCGGTGATAGTGATGCGGACAAATACTTTGACGCCTAAATTATGGGTACCGATACATTTTTGTTGATCCCTTTTTTACTTTCGTTTTATTTGATAGTTTAGTTGTAGTTAATTTAAAGTTATAAATATTCAATAATAGGCATTTAAATTGAATTAAATAAAATATTATATAATAAAAAAAACCTACTTATCTACTATAAGTATGAGGAATAATCGACAGTACCAAATTGCGTTATTACAAATGTAAGATTTCTGAATTTTAGACTTCATTTTATTCTCCATGCATTTCGTTGCATATTCATTCGAACTTAGGTAAACACAGACTCCATACGTAAAGAGAAAAGAGAAATAAATAGAAAGAAATCTCCATAAAAATAAATCCAAATACCGCTTGCATCAACCCTACAACTTTATAGCAAGGTACAGAAGCCTATTGCTCTCTTTCGGTAATTCAATTGCATGACAAACTCCTTTGAGGGCCGCCGACCGAGGACGCACGGTTCCCATACATTCTTGTAGGTACTTATTTCATCTGTTTATTGATCAAATGGGATCTTTGTTTCCAATTTAGATTATGTTTACTTTCTATTGTATTTTTTTGGTGTTTGAATTTTATTTTTCGGTTACCAGTCTTCTACTACCTCGTTGAGCGAGTGGTCGCAAGTGCAACTGCTTGGCAATGGGTCTCGGGTTCGATTCCCAGATCGGGCAAAGTATTACTGGGTTTTAAAAAAAAATCTTAGTAGTAGCATGGAGTGTGGAATTGTGCCCGGTATATGGCAATAGGCTCACCACCTATTACATGGGACTCATAACATAAATTGTGAATATTGGGTGTTACATTGTACAGTGGCATTAAGTGCCGTAATGTGCACCTCTGCCTACCCCTTCAGGGGTAAAAGGCTTGATGTCATGTTATGTTAGTCTTCTACTGTGCCAACAAACTTTTTGTTGTTTGTTACATATAGATAATCGATTCTCTGTTGTTGTCATTGGTTAGAAAAATCGTTTTTAATTTCTCAATTTATTATGAGATTAATAAGACAGACTACATCGTTAGTATAATGGTCACAATTGTAATTGTCGAGCGAGGACAAAAAACCAATAATTGTCCCGATAGCACTATTCCGATTCGAGAATCGGACCAGAGTGTGCCCGAGTTTTCTTGCTCAGTACCTTACCTATATAATTAGTTATTTCTTAGTCATAACCAAAGATACCTTATTATTCCTTGTGCTTCCTGCGAAGGAATGGAATTCTTTGCCAGAGTCTGCGTTTCCCGAAAGATATAACCTGGGTGTCTTCAAAGCCCGAATGAATAGGATAGGCAGACGTGGTCCATAGACCGCATCATCGCTTACCACCAGGCGAGATAGTGGCCAAACGTCAGCCCATCAAAAATAAAGTCACAATTTTATCGAATCCCTACTCATACAAAACCTACAAAAATCTTCACGCACGGTTCTCCTTTATTGAATAGTGTGGACAATCTATTGACCTGTTAAAATTCCTTCTTTTTATAACCCCCTTCATTACGTCAGCAGCTAGTTAACTTTTTTCTTTTTTTAACCCTTTACTACTTACTTAAACTTTTTATAACGCTTGACACCTTATCTTGTAAAGTAAATATTTGATCATCACAGTGACTAAGGAGTTTTTGACACATTTTTTTAATTTTATTTTTTTTGGTCTGGTAACTTTCTAAACTGTCAATGAATTAACAGAAAACTTTTAAAGGAATGTCCAACGGTTTTTTGTTTAGTTCTGAAGTTTGTTTTGACAGTCAATGTGATGGGGATAAATTGGTCGTAGTTAGTTTAAAATTGTACCTATACATCTTTGTTTGTTATGAGGATGTTGACAACTTGACATTCATGTCAATTTATAGGAATGCTTAAATAAGGAATTAAGTCTTTGTTAATCCTTCAAAGTAGTTGTTAATTAATTAGATTGGACATGTTTAAAAATAATAAC